GAGGAGGAGGAGGAGGAGGAGGAGGAGAGAGGTGAGAGTATACGTGTTGTGTGTGCAGATGAGCAGATTGCCAAATGCCCGAAGTCCGTGGTCGAGACAGGTGCTCTGAGGGGAACAGTCAGAGAAGATAAGATCATGCAGAACCCTTGGTTATGTCGGTGACACGATAGCTGACTGGATATGTCGACAACACAATCTTGTCGGTGACGGAGATTACAGCTGGGGAACCGCCTATTAAACAACCTTACATATTTGAAAGAGTTGGTCGTATTATGATATGGTATAATATGATATGAAATGATATGATATGATGTGATATGATGTGATTTGATGTGATGTGATACAATATCATAATCATATTTGTACAGTTACAACTGGAGAAAGATATACATAACGAGGATAATTGCAAAAAAAGTAATTGCTATATAACAACAAAAACAACAACAACAACAACAACAACAACAACAACAGTAGCGATAGCAGCAGCAGCAACAGCAGCAACAGCAGCAACAGCAGCAACAGCAGCAACAGCAGCAACAACAGCAACAAAAACAACAAAAATTAATAGTATCAACAGAAAAAGAACAACAAAGACGAGGAACAAGAACAACGAACATATTGCATGAACTCACCCTCCCTGTCCAGTGGGTGCCTCTCCGGTGCCAGAGGGTCATTGCTTCTGCTGCCAGCTGACCCGTCCTCATGCCTCCCCTCCTCCCCCTCCAGCTCGTCCCGGGGAAACCGTGAGCGAAGAACGCGCGAGATGGAGCTCACACTGGGCACACTGTTGCGGTCACACACGCCGTCCTGTCAAGTTAGAAAAAGTAAATTCAAATAAAATATTATCTTTTTAAATTAAAGGATTCGTTGCACTAAGGGTACTGCATATGGGGAAGGATAAGGTCACACCTTTAGCCGACACTAAGCTCAGCAGTTATTGTCTCTATAAAAAAAATTAAAATATCTTAGGGAAAAAAACGTAATTGTATTTTTAATGGTTGAGAATGTTTTACGTAACAATTGACATCATGTAAGAGGCGGGCTGCTTCAAGGCTAACCAGGGTTGAACGAAAATCTGTGTCCCAGCAGAAAGACGAAGGGACTTGGTGAAATATGATTACACATGCGATAAAAAATCGAAACTCGTGGGTTTCTTTGCGTGCGGTGAAGAAAAAAAAAACACTTGCAAAGGTAACGTTTTGTAGTTCTAATGGACAAATATGTTGCAGTGGAATAATCAAGACTAACAGACTGATAAAGCAGAGGAATAGCAAAGCAGTATAACATACCAGTAGTGCCCTCCAAACACCCTCAGACATATTCGTGCACATTTGTTTGAAGATGAAGTAGTTTTCATTTAAAGATATTGGGTGGGGTTCGAGGGGGTATGTTTACTTTTGACCTCTCCGAATGTGCAGTGATAGTGTTACCAAAGATAGTTTACCGTAGGCTATGCTATCTTTGGTGTTACTTCCTTCAGGCTATCGCCACTTTGTTCCCACCAAACTAGCTTTTACATATTATACAGTAAAAAGTTTCCTTCAGACACAACTGAAACAGGTTTAGTTCACAGTGTTCATGTAAAAACTTTTCATTTACCACCCAGAGATCTACATGCTATCCCTCAGACCAGAATATTTTGTTGGTTGTTGGGTTTTTTCACTGAGAGGAAATACATAAAGAAAAAATGTCTTGGTGCAAATAGATAATAACTCCGGCTTCAAAGTATAACTAAGATAATCTGCTTAATTAAAACTATTTATTCGCAGTGATTAGGCTACGTGAGGTTGCGGATTCGGGGGTTCGAGCGCGGGCCCGACGTTGTGTCCTTGGGAAAGTCACTTTACACGAATTTCCCCCACTTCACCCAGGTGAATGGGTACTCAGCTATAGACAGTGAAAGATCTTGTCAGTTTGTTAGTGTTTGAGCGCTTAACCAGCTGCTTGCACGGTATACTTCCCGGGAAGCTGAGAATGTTTCTGGGTGATCTATGGTCTGCTGGGGTAATAATGATATTATATTGTAAAGCGCATAGAGCTTGCTTTCGAGTGGGGATATTATTATTATTGAATACCTTTCGTATAGTTTATGTTGTTAGCTATCTTGATGGTGTTGTCGTTGTTATTGTTGTTGTTTGTGTCATCTTTCTTTCGTCAGCGTAGTTGTTGCTGTCGTTTGTGTTATGATAATCTCTGCTTAGTTGTTAGTGCTGTTATTGTTGCTGTTGTTGTTGCTGTTGTTGCTGATTGTGTAGTTGGTGATGTTCTTCTTCATCCTCTTTTTCTTCTTTGTACTTTTTCTACATGTTCTTAGTCTTTTTTGCTGTGATTCTCCGTATTATTGAGGGGCAGTCGACGGTGATATTAGGTTTGATTTACGGAACACTATATATCACGATCCAACACAGATTTTTTTGGTACAATGCGGGTTTGAAATCGAAGAGAGACGCTAATTACTGTGTGTACTGACGAGTAAGAAAACTCGACACTATTGTGAACTGGGATCAATTCACGACGAATCTATTGGATACAAACGACACACCAGCTTAACCTCCCTGCCTCTGTAAGATTACATTTCTTTGATCTGAGTGGGCCAAAAGCATTACAGATTGTATCCTTTCAAAGAGTGAGGTTTTATAATCAAATTAAATAATATTGATAATTCAGGCTGTTACAGACAAATACTGGGGTATCGAGTGACATAAAAGTTTGGTTATACTCAAGTAGGCTCCCCACAGATCTGCGGCCGCCTTAATTCCAAATGACAATTGTGTTCAAATTGTTTGTGGTTACGCTTTGTGCATTTCTACGTATACGGGGGTCGCATGGGGTCTTTCAACAAATCCAACTTATTTCTTTTCAATTATACAATTACATAAAAATCAATACTGATAATTCATTAGTTTATCAGCAGGTGGCTGACGCGTAGGAATAAGAGAGTAAATGAAAGATCAACGTAAGAGAATGTACGTAAAATCAATTTTTCTATTCACTGTATTGCAGTAAGAAATTATAATGATCGCGGTATGCTTTTGTTTCTTTATTGTGTGCTGGAACAAAGTTGGCATAAATGTAAAACAAGACTAAAACGTAATCTTTGTGGCTAAGACAGTAAGCGGACAAAAGACTCGTCCTTCTAAAGTGCAGTAAGGTAAATCTAAGTCGGTGGCGTGTTCGGGCAATGTAAGGGGTCTGCTGATTATTTATTTGTAGATATTTTTGTGTTGTATGCTCAGTTCAGAGAGGACGTTTTCTTAGATAAATAAAGGGGCACGCCAAGTAATCAAACACATATTTGACAACATGTTTGCGATGATAATATTAATAATAATGCTGCAGATCCATACCTTTGACATTGTAGCGAAATCTTGCAGCCTGTCGTTGTAGGTGTAGATTTATCGATTACGTCACTGGGACGTGTAATGGTGGGTGGATTATGTCAACTTGTTTATTCTTTCTTTAAACTGGTGGTTATACTGTGTACGTCTGTGAATGTGCCACCAGCTCAGAAAGGATGGAACAAATAGATTCTTTTTTTTCTTCTTTTTTTTCTCTCTCCAAATACACAACAACAAAAATCTCTTTACTTGGAACAATATCTACTGACTTCACTGGTGTGATGGTGTGATGTTACAATTTTTTTTCTTCTTCAGTTTAGCCAGGAGGTTCGGCAATGATTATGCTAAAAGAGTTTTGGGTTGTTTTTGTTATTTGGTTTGTTTGTTTGTTGCAGTTGTTATTTTGTTGTTATTTTGTTTTGTTGTTGTTGTTGTTGTTTTTGTTGCTGTTGATGGGTTGTTGTTTTTTGTTTTTTGTTTTTTTGTTTTGGTAAGTTTTTTAATAAGTAATTTGAGTGTATTTGATTGCCAGCTTCAACTGGTTGGACATACTATCCCTAGGAAGGATATTTTACTCTGTTTTCTTTTAGTCCATCCAGCTTCAAACGGTACTTGACACTCGGCAACCCTCTAAAATAATATGTGACTGATAGAGGCTTGCGCCTATAGTGACTGCAATGGTATATGTCTGCCTGGAGACTGAAGGGGGGGACTGGTTTGGTGAAGAGAGCATTGTGAGGAAATGTGCTCACCCTACACACGTCAATGAAAATTTCCTTGATCTTGAACTTTGAACTTTTCTAGACATCGGATTGGTAGACTGAGACTATTCCAAAAAGCTAGCACTGTGAAGTGCAAGTCTATAATGATGAACCTTAATGGACGTCTGTGACAAAATGCTACAGCTATAGGATCCTGCTCAGAGAATTTAATGAATAAAACGTCACTATCAATAAATCTGACGTAGCAAAGGCATTACTCTGTAAAAGCTGACGTAACAAAAGATTACACTAAAGCATGCTGGCAAAGCAAAAACATCACTCTATAAAAACTTAATAATTATAATATATTACTATTATTTTTAAAAAGCTCACTAAACAAAGCATCGCTCTAAAAATGAGCTTAATAAATGTCACTCCAAACAATCTGACAGAATGATGATCTAGATCCTGTTTATGACCCCAACTCCCATGTATGCACACAGCCTCAAAGCTCTTTACATAGCAAAACACCGCTCTAGAATGCTGACGTAATAGAAGGCCGCACTAAAAGCGATGACGCATTAGAATGGAAAGCTCAAAAAGCTCATGTAATAAAACTCTACTCACGTGTGTTGCCCCCACCTTGAGTAGCTTGTCTCTGATCTCCCAGCTGAACACACCCGGGTTCTCTCGTTTGTATTCTTCGATACGACCTTCGACCTCTGGGGTCGCGACCCGGGGTTTACTTCCGCCAATGACTCCGGGGCGTATACTTCCGGTTTCTTGGTAGCGTTGCAGGATTTTTGAAACACACCTGTGGTAATCGACACAAAAGAATTAAACAGTCAGTCATTTTATACTAACAAACTTTAATACTAAAGAGTTTAGAAGCACGAGACAAAAATTGTATTAGTAATGATGCTTAGAGGTTTCTTGTCCAGAACTTTTTTTATAGTAAAGGGTTTTACGGCTCTCGCAACTGCATAAGTTCATATGAGCGCCAAGGGGTGGGTGTCAACAGAGAAGTCTTTACTGGGAATCAGACTTATTCTGCTCACCTCTCTAGCTTCAACAGCACAAGGTCTGCTTCGACTATCAAGGCACCCCGGAAATAGCAAGTCACAAGAGAGTGAAAAACATACAAATGAAGTAGAGGAAAATGGCAATAGTAAGGATTAAGAAAGAAAAAGCAGCAGTTCCCTGTTGTAGATCAGGCACAATTATGAGCGTGACATGAATCAGCCCTTTTACAATTCTAGTGTGTTTGAACGAGAAATGTCCCCCCTTTGGGAATGGCCTAAAGACACAACAGTCAGTGGCACTGCCCCGGGGTGTGTCCAGAACTTGGTAATAACAATAAAATTGCATATCCCGAAACAGTGCAGTGGTATGATGATCTCAAGAACCACAAAAAACAATAAGTAAAGATGGTGCTATGACCGAAAAAACGAGATGAACAGTCAAAGGAGGTAAAGTTTGGGCCATTTTACAAAAAGTTTTTGTGAATAGTATTGACTAAAGGTACCTACGGTCCTGCTTCTACAGCTATAGTACCTTTATGTTCCCTTTAAATAAAACGGAACAGACAAATAAAGCAGACAGCATTTGAAGTAGAAATCTGACAGGTATAGGAATAAAACCTAGCAAAGTATATCTGCGAGGATCAAGGTGGTTATTTAAACAAATGCGAGATTGCACTATAATAAGGGGAATCGAGTAGATAAACATTGATAAGTAGAAAGACAATAGCAAAGAAAAGAAAAGGGAATAGGACAAAGGCACACGGGGTGGAAAAGACAGACAGACAGACAGACAGACAGACAGACAGACAGACAGACAGACAGACAGACAGACAGACAGACAGACAGACGAGGAAAAGGACTCAATACTATTAGCTATGCGAAGTACTGAACTTTATCCTCCTCAGTTCCTACATGAAGCGAAGTACTGAACTTTATCCTCCTCAGTTCCTACATGAAGTAAATAGTGCAGATGGGGCGTAAAGCACCTACATGAAAATGATTATATTAATATATTATATTATATCATACTATATAATATTGTATTATATTATATTATACTATATTATATTATATCATACTATATAATATTGTATTATATTATATTATACTATATTATATTATACTATATTATATTATATTATATTATATTATATTATATTATATTATATTATATTATATTATATTATATTATATTATATTATATTATATTATATTATATTATATTAGGGGGCTCTCGTGGCCTAGAGGTTAAGGTGTTGGCCTCTCATTCAAAGGTCCCGGGTTCGAATCCGGGTAGCGACCAAAAAATTTTCTTCTCTAAAATTGTCTCCTTTCACCTCCTTTCCTGCTCTCTAGCAATGTTCTGTTGTCTGCTTTCATTTCCACTTTCTGCCCCCACCCCCTCACCTCCTTTGCCCCCTCCTCTGGGCTCCTGACTCTTTCTGCAGCCTTTCTACTGCTACTCCTTGGCCCCTCCTTACTGCTGTCTTTCTGCCACACCCCTGATCTTCTGGTAAGAAAGATCTACACCTAGCCTTCAGTGACAAGGGCGAAAAATCTCGGAGGGCCCGTGTGCAAGTTGCGCACGTTAAAGATCCCTTGGTGGTCTAAAATCGATAAGAGTAGGCTTCGGCCGCCACCCGGGCAAAATTCAAAATTTCCTACCAACTGAAAATATTAGGTGTGTCCCGCTCGCTCATATGACCTATGCAGTTGCGAGCGCCGTAAAACACTTTACAAAAACAACAACAAACAAACAAATATTAGTTGCGATAAAACACTTTACAAAAACAACAACAAACAAACAAATATTATATTATATTATATTATATTATATTATATTATATTATATTATATTATATTATATTATATTATATTATATTATATTATATTATATTATATTATATTATATTTTAGTACAGTTGTATATTATATTATATTAAATTATCTTATATTATAGTATATTATATTAAATGTACACTCACCCGTGTGAGACCCTGAGCTGCCTGCTGATGACACAGGGGCGGACACCCTGAGCTGCCAACTCCACGATCTTCAAGCGGATGTGATTGGGTAACGGTCTGCCATTGATGAACACGCCCCCCAGCTGGTTCACGCGACCTTGACCTGCCAAAGCGGAGAAAATAATATAATTTATTTTATTTTTTTTGCTTATTATCATAATTCCTGTGGCGTAAACGTCGTAATTTGTCACTCTCTGTAAAATGTCCGATAGAAAGAGCTGAAAGTGAATTACTGACAAATCGCCTTGACAAGAAAAGTGAACAAAGAAGAGGAGGGGACTAGTCACAATACAAGACAGAAGTTAGGATTAGATGGAAATAAGAAAGTAGGGTGACGCAAAAACAACCCTTTAAAAATTTCAAAGGAAAGAAAAGCATATATGAAAAGAATGAGTTAAAGACCAAATCGAGAGTAAAGAATGGAGGAAGAAAAAAAAGAGAGCTGAAAAAAGAAAGAGAACAAATAATGCATTTTCCTCTCCAGTGTGACACAAATTTCCCTTTTCCCAACACAAAACACTCTCCGTGCGAGTCGTACACTCCATAAAAATCATGTTGATTATTTTCAAAACGGATCAGGCGGTCTTCACAATGAAACACGTCAATGAGCTGTCCCCGTCTTTTTATGTAAGAAAAACTCTGAAATTGTGCAAACTGACCCAAAAATGTGAATTATGCGATACTGTTAATTTTAACAAAGAATGAAAAGGAAAATAATCAGAATTTATGCCCAAAAAATGATCAAATTCTACTAGATTATGCGGGGTGCATGAAACCACGAGGACAGATTGAGGGCTCAACCAGTTTGTTCAGTCACACAATCGTGCAGTTTGTTTGTTTTTTTTTGTTGTGTGTGTTTGTTGGTTGTTTTTGTTGTGTGTGTTTGTTTGTTTTTTGTTATTGTTGTGTTTTGGCGGTTGTTTGTTTGTTGTTGTTTTGTTTTGTTTTTTGTGTTTTTTTATTTTGCAGTTTTAATATGTTTTTAATTTTTACAAAGTATAAGTGACAACAAGACACAAACGGGCGACTCTCAAAGACTAACACCCCACACTGTTCGGATTTGTTTGTCTGGTTGTATTTTACCAGACGCTTGTCCGTCACGATAGAACAAATTAATTAATACTGTCAGGAAGAGAAGGAAAAAAGTCTTTGTATAGAATCTATTGGATTTTCTTTCTCTCATTTTTCCAGAACGGTGTAAAGAAATAATTCTAGAAGAAACATTAACCCTTTCACTGCCTGGCCCAAGAATGCCTCTTGCCCTTTGGTTGGACTATGAATACATTTAGTAGATGCAAACTACTGCGTTACATAAGTATCGATGTTTACTACAATATGTTATATGTTACTTTTTATTTGTAGTAATAACAAGCACATTGATCTTTATGGCTTGATTTTCATAATTTTCTTGGAGGACGCATGGGAGAGGTGGGGGATTGCCCTTTATTTCACACAATCCCGTTAGGGCCTCCCTCATCACCCTCCCTCACTCCTTCTAGCTCTATCCTTCCCCAAACCCAACATTGAATTTACATTCATTATATTTTTACCTTCCAGACAAAATATTAATCTCAGGTATATATATATATATATATATATATATATATATATATATATATATATATATATATATATATATATATATAAAATATATATAATATATATAAATATCAAGTAGATCTATATGGGTATTGGGGGTTTTGGTTTTTTTGGGGTTTTTTATTTGTGTTGTTTTGTGGGGGGGGGGGGGGGGTTGTTGTTTCTTGGTTTGTTTTGTCTCGGGTTTTTTTTTGTTGTTGTTGTTGGTGGTGGTGGTGGGGGGGGTTGTTTTGTTTTTGTTTTTATTTTGTGCTGAATTTTTGCCGTTGTCTTTTTATTTGCTGGGGGGGGGGGGGCTGTTTGTTTGTTATTGTGTATGGTTTAGTAACAACACAGATTTCCAATTGAATATTTATTGTTTGTTCTCACACACAGCAAAAAAGAATCCTCCTTGCCGCCTGACCAAACGGTTGTAATATTCTTCGAAAGCTATTTTAAGTTAGATTTCAGCAGAAAAAAAATCAAAACATACTTTGTTGTAAAAAAAAACATCAAAACACAATCAAATAAAAAGCAAAACTTTTTTCTCGTGTGGTACACTTCCAGAAAAGGTTACTCTAGGCTCTGCTCTCATTATCATGTGTAAAGATAGTAAAGCATTCGCAAAAAGCATTTATAACGTTTTGTGGGCCTACCCACCATTTCTTCAGTAACATTGCTTCCCCTTCCCCTTCAATAATTGTAACAAAGATCAAGATCAAGGTGTTTACTTAATTTTTCTTTTAAATCAATGCCTTTCTCATTTTTTAAAATATGTTTTTTTACTTCAAGAAAAGGAAAATTGAAGGGACCAAAAAACTGGATCGACTGGTTAGACTGAAAATTGAAAAAAGAATACGGACAAATATTAATGAAAATGAATAATAAATAAATAATAAAGATTGGTTCAACAATTTTTTCTCGAACAAAAGTATAAAGTGCCAGAGAATTGATGCAAATATGCTGGGGTTCGTCCACAACAAAACACTATTGATAGACGGATGGGGCGCAAATTTTCCTTTTTGTGCAATGATTTGTCAACTTGCATATCACTCATCTTCGTTTGTTTCTCATGCGTTCATTTTATTTTTGTTGCTGTTTTTGTTTAGTTATTTGTCATTTCTGAAAAAAATTATTCATTCACAGGTATGATAAGTCATACATTGCCTACATAAGAATGTATCTCTACATAATATACGTATCGTATAGTGTATGCCTATTCATAATATATGATTATTCTATATTTATTTCGTGACTTGGGCCTATAATTCTATTGGTTTGTTGAATAATTGGTATGTGTAACAATCTATTTATCCATTTATGTAATTAACCGTTGGTAGTTATTGGGTGTTGTTGTTTTTGTTGTATGGTTTGTGCTTTGTTTTGTTTTGTTTTTTTGTTGTGTGTGTTTGTTGGTTTTTTGTTTGTTTGTTTTTTGTTATTGTTGTGTTGTTGTTGTTGTTTTTTGTTTTTTGTTGTTGTTTTTGGGGGGTGAGGGTTCTATGTATTTACTGTTTGGTAATGGTTTCACCAGTCGCTCTTTCATTTATCTAATTGTTCTCATATGTACGCAAAGGGTTCCAGATTTGATTTGGATACACAACCCTTTTTGTATAGACTGCTATAACGTCATGAAATTTAAGACTTTGCTTTAAGTACTGCAGCGCAAAGATAGCCAACGAGAAACAAATAGAAATGAAAAATAGTGCCTGACTTCAAAATGACATGAAACATGTCTGTCAGTGAGCCAGTCACGTTACCTTTGAGAAGTGCGTCTTGGTCCATTGAAGAAAATTCCATAAAAGATCAAACTTCTGGATAGATATGAATTTACTTGACTATCTCCTCTCTCTTCTCCTGGGTTTCAGAGTGGTGGACAATTTATATCTGGACGGCAACGCAGCAACGAATTGTCTTGAGAAAGGCTTTGAATCTGTGGCAGCTGTTTCTTTCCTTCAGACTTCCGTTATTTCAGATCTCCTCCTAATATTCACAGATACGTTTCTCCATATCGCTCTGATAGTGCTATGCCTTGAACAAACGTTAAATGCCTATTGAACGTTTGGATGTTTTTGTCGATGTCGGGTTGGTTACGTTTTTCTAATTCAGTACTTCCTGGCCTGGGTTTTTTTTTTCTCTCTGTCTTTTTTTCTTCCGTTTTTCCTCTGCTCCCAAAAAGTCCTAGTCACAATGCTGTTAAGGAATAAAAGAGAGTCCGCTGTAGCATACAGAGGATTTCCGGCACTGTTGTATCACGTCTGGCCACCTGATGTCCTTCCTTCTACATTCCTCAACGAGCAGGTTGATTTTTCTCACTGTTATGGGTTATCGCTCCTATTTACGCCTGCTAATGACGGTTATCGTCCGTTGATACGTCACGTTCGTCCTATGGCTGGGCGGCGGGGAGTCCCTTCTGCTGAGTCCTTGTGGTCCACAGACGATCTCAGGGGGAGACCACTGCAGACTTGTTAATGAACACCTGACAGGATGCCAAGCCTTTGGATTGGTCCACAGTCTCCACCAGACAGGGTTAGGCTACATAGCACTTTTTGGCCTACCTTTGACCTCTCCCATGAAGAAAATGTACAGTCTAGTTGCAGTACTTAAAAATGTAAATGAGTCCGTGGCGTTTAACTTGGATTTGGATGGTTGGAAGACTTTCAAAATATTACGAAAGCCTTTGTGTGAAACAAATAAGTCATCTTAGTTTATCTTTTCAATATACAGTATATAGAAAGTGGCTTGGGGGTTTTCCCCTTGTTTCCGAATTATTCTAAATAATGAATTTTGTTCAGATAAAAGCTTTTTTGTTCAGATGATTTGGAAAAGAAGCGTAGCATGGCCAACTTTGGATAGAGGGTAACAGAAGGGAGCAAAAAAATCTTAGGTGTAACGACACTCTGAACCATGTCCGACGGGAGAAAACAGTTGTGAGAAATGGCGATTCTTCTTCCTGCAAAGAAGAATATATTATTCTGATTGTTTCACTTTAGTCTGGCCTAGTGCGTTCATCAAATGATATTGGAGCCATCATTCTGAAGATTTAAAGAGCCCTTCGATCTTAATCTTTAGGCTGCAGAACTCACGAGCAGGGTGTAGAGTTTGATATGAATGTTTTTCATTCACGTTTGTGATTTTTTTTTAAAAGATGAGATCGGTTTAATCATAAACGTAATATCTAGGTTGAAAGTTCTAATCCGGGACTTTTTAAGCTGTTACAGTCTGTGTTGCAAACATATTGCAAGGTGCCAGGCACAAAACCCCTACACTGACACTTCTTTCTCTCTCTCACTCTCTCTCTCTCTCTCTCTCTCTCTCTCTCTCTCTATCTCTCTCTCTCTCTCTCTCTCTCTTTTCTTTCTTTCTTTCTTTCTCTCTCTCTTTCTTTCTTCTCTCTGTTTTTCTATCTGTCTTTCTTTATCTCTCTTTCCCTCCTCCTCCTCCTCCTCCTCTCTCTCTCTCTCTCTCTCTCTCTCTCTCTCTCTCTCTCTCTCTCTCTCTCTCTCTCTCTCTCTCTCTCCCACA